GAGGCTCGCGCATGAGGTAGGCGAGCTTCTACATGGGAGCCGAGGGCGTGTGACATCAGTTGACTTCTCGCGCGCCAGGCTGCTACGCGAGAAAAATAGGACGGCGATTTGGGAGCAGGGGCTTGCTGTATGAGCGAGACGAAAGGTAGAAATACTCTTCCCCTTGCAGCTTTCCTCGATGGACTCGGCTGGGCTGGATGCTAAAGCCAGCGAAACATGAGTCATGCGACTTGCGTCTCTCTCCGCCTTTGCGACTCCTGCTTGATCCTAGCGTTCCATGCGACTGGCGAAGGAACACCCTTCCCTAGCCATCTTCTCGCTACCTACTGGAGCTCCACATCACCGAGGTATGGGCCCGGGGCTGCAGGAACGCAACCACGCGTCATCATCGCGCGTTGGGGCTGGTCGGGGAGTCAAAGCTGAATGCGATGGCCTGGCCCTGGAAGTCCGACGACATGCACGACCAGGATACCGATGACGTTGGATGTCGCGCGTAGTCTTCTGCGCGTCGATAGTGAGTCATATGGGACGCAATAGTTCGACCTCTGTCTCGCAGCTGGGTGAGCGAGTCGAAAGGGCGAAACATTGTTTGCGCCGTAGCTGCGTTCGCCAGACTCAACGGGGTACGGGGCAGAAGCTAGAACACCGCCGCGGTATGACTCTGTGACTTCACAACAGAGGCATGGGCCCGGGGTTGTAAGAAAGAAAACATGCGCCATGGCATTGGAACCTGCCAGGTTGAGCCATCAGTCGCAACTGAAATGCTTCAGCAAGGCCTGGGAGTTCCAGGGGGTGAGCAGGAAGAGCAGTAATGGCTCTGTATGCCGCATCTGCGGGTTGACAGTCAGGCATGTGCGACACGACCATGAGCGGATCCATCCATGCGCTCGTTTGAGATCGAGCCGCCGCGAGGTGAACACCAGGATGTGGTGTCGACCTTGTCGTAGACTCGGTTGAGCTGACGGAGGGAGCCAGTGCAATACTGCTCAGCAAGTTCACACTGTCGGCACCAGCGCAAGCTCCCAGCGGGAAGGGGCCCGGGACTGTAAGGGGGCAAACACCCGCCATGGCATTGTTGTTGGTATCGTTGAGCGAGTCTCACCTCAATTGTTCCCGCATCGTCAATCGCGGGGCTGAGGCGACTCCTCAGATACCAGCCCCAGAGCAACCCGCCATTGCCCGCACATGTTTTCAATGGCCCTTAATCTCGCCACCATAGCCTTCTGAGTTGAGCCCGGCGTGGGTTAAAAAGGCGTAGAAGACCTTCACACTCTGGCTGCCGCTCCCCGGGCTGCAGATGGAAGTCCCGAGAGAGTCAAAGGCAGAGCACTTCTGTCTCGCGATGCCCGGCGCAGTCTTCTGCGCGTCGACGATGAGGCACATCTGTCACAATCGTGTTTACGGCCTCATCCGACCGAAGCTGGCTGAAAGAGCTGGAAACCGTCGCCCTGGCAAGGACGGCAAGTGGCCGACGAAGTCGACGAAGCCGGGGGAAGAAGCCAGAGCACTACTACAACAGGTACGTCCTGCGGCTCGACATCACAGGGCCTTGGGCCCGGGGTTGGAAAGATACGTAAATGAGCTGACATCAAACGTCATGTGGGTAATACAGACACAAGATGCACATCCGAATGGACGGAGTAATGTAAAGATGATATCAAGGCATGTTGGGTATAGGTATAGTGACAAGGACTGACTACTGCCATCAAAGTATGTATGTGGATGTGTGTGTACTTTTGCGCAAATGGATTGCTAGGATCAAAAAAGGTTGGAGTGGTGGAATTGGTAAAGAGGTCATAGCTTGGCATCATCCGGCGTCTTCTTCTCTTCCGCCTCTAAAGCCTTTGGCGGCGCCGCCTCCGCCGTCTTGTCTGTTGTTGTGGGGACGTCCTGCGTCTCCTTGGAAGATGTGGAAGGGGTGTCAGCGGGTGTGGACTCCGACGTGGTGGCCGGCTCTGAAGCTGTCGTGGGCTCGTAGCGCGCTGGGCCGGAGGTGAGTGCCTCATCCGCGGCGGTGTCCTTCTTGGCGGCAACGGGCGCATTAGGGTCAAAGACGACAGCGACCTCGTCGAGGGGTGTCGCGGCGCCCTGCGCGGCAAGCTGGATCTTCTTCTTGGCCTCGGCGCGGAAGTCGGTGGCCTCCTGCGGGGCACCCTCGGAGCCGGAGACGGTGTGCCCCTCGCGGCCGCGGTCGTCCTTGATGTCGGTGCCGACCTCCGCCTCGAGCGCCTTGGTGACACGCGACACAGTGCCCTTGGGGATGCTCTGCTGCGCATCCTCCGTGTCGCTGCCACCGTCCTGCCGCAAGGAAGCGCCAACGACCTCGGGCTCCTCCTTATCATCATCGAGCTTGAGCGCGGAGCCGACGTTCTCGGTGACCTTGCGGATCTCCTCCTCGAGGTCCTCGTCACCGTCGGCAGCAGCAGAAGCAAGCTGCCTCTCGGCCTCCTTCTCGCCCACAATGCCGCGCCACATGTCCTCGAGCTCATCGCGCCAGCCAAGCAGAGAAGCAAGCTTGCGCACGCCAGCATCGCACGTGCCCAGCTCAACGACATCATCCGCACGGCGACCCATCTGGCCCACGCGCTCCCTGTTGAGCAACAGCCTCGGCACACCCGACCGCGACGCCTCAGCAAGTCCGGCGAAGGGGTAGACAGACAGGCTGGTGCCCATGACGACGATGAGGTCGGCCATGGCGGGGAGGTGTGTGTTGTTACGGAAGGCCTCGGGGAGGGCCTCGCCGAAGAAGACGATGTCGGGCTTGACGAGGCCGTCGCAGGTACCACAGCGGGGCACGATCTCGGCCTGGACGTGCTGGAGCATCTTGTCGTCGGGGAAGGGGGTGGCGCACTCGATGCAGCGCTGGGTGGCAAAGGAGCCGTGGGCCTCGATGATCTTGTCGTCCGGGACGCCGGCGCGGCGCTCGAGGCAGTCGATGTTCTGGGTGAAGTTCATCTGCAGGAGGCCCTTCTTGGCGAGGAGGGCGATGAAGACGTGCGAGACGGTCGGGAAGAACTTGCCCGGGTAGAGCTCCTTGGCGAGGTAGTAGAAGGGTTCGGGGTGCTTGCGGAAGTAGCTGATGTCGAAGACGGCTTCGGCGTAGGGAAGGTTGAGGCGGGCGAGGTTGGCGTAGAGGCCGGTGCCGGGGGATCTGAAGTCGGGGACTGGAGGGGTGGCATGTTAGCCGTGGTCTAGAAAGCGAAAGTGTGTTGGCGCAAGGAGAGTCGTGGGAGAGACATACTGCCTGCAGCGGTTGAGATGCCCGCGCCGGTCATGACGGCGATGCGCTTCACCTCGCCGGACTTTATGTAGTCGGCAATGGCGCCCAGAGACCTCGACTGGAGGGTCTTGGGGTGGACGCTGTCGTCCAGCATGGTGGATTCTTCATTGCCCATCTTGTTGCGCGGCCGGTGGGAGTTGGGCCGGCCCTTGGGGTGTTTGTCGCGGCGTCGGCGGCCTATGGTGGGCGATGATGGCGGGGTGGTAGTGGGGGGAAGAAAAGAAGACCAAAAAAGTCTGCAGGCGTGGGGGCTGGTCGCAGTATGAAATGATGTTGGTATAGATGATCAGCGGTGACTGGGAAGTGTTATCGCCGGCTTTTAGGATCGTGGGAGGGTGTTGGTGCCTGGGAGGATGAGAGGCAACAGATGTATGTCGATGTTGATGATGGTAAGAAGCGGTTCGGGGCGGTGGTGGCTGCCTCGTCGGCCGGATGGCTCATCGCTCAAAAAAGTCCGATGGCTCGTTTCGGTGTTACATCATGCGGGAACCCCACCCCCGCCATCCTGGAGCTCTTATCGCACGGTGGGTGACCCTTATCGCTAGCTACGCGGACGGACCAACGGGCGTGAGCGGGAATAAGCAAGCGAGTTGGGGGCGATGTGAAGGATGGATGACCTAAGGAAAGGGGTCAGTGAGTGTTCATCATGGAGGGGGAGAGAGGGTCTGACCAACACCTCCTGTCTTTAGGGCAAGGGCAGAAGAAGATGCCCAATAGCAAGGAATCGGGGATGAAAGGCAAAGAGGGTGACGAGAGACGGGGAAGTTGAGCCACACGTCTATGGACGATGCGGCCGATGAGCTGAGGAAAGGGGTCAACGAGGGCCTACCACGGAATGCGAACGAGAGAGGAACTGACCAGTGACTGCTATCAACACCTTCGGGAGGGCGGGGAGAGATTGGAATGATCGAATCTAGCGTTCGTAGATGAACGTCGATGCGAGAGCGAGGGGCAGAGAGATAAGGAGAAACTCGGTCGATATGCTGAGGAAAGGAGTCAGCAATTGCTAGCCACGGGGTACGGGCAAGAGATGAACTGACCGAATGCTGTCATCAGCAACGCGTTGCAAAGAACGAAGAAGGGGATCAAATGGCCACTCCAGAACGAAACAGGAGTGAGAGGAAGAATCTCTCTTTCCTAGCCGTCTTGCGAATTGGTTGATGGGCTGGGGAAAGAAGTTAGCAAGTTTTCATCACAGAGGACGAAGAGAGAAACTGACCACATACGGCCATCAGCAGCTTGTTTAACGGAGAAAGGAGAGGAGGAGAAGAGTAGGCAGATGATCAACAACTAAATGGCCGCACATGGCGCACGAAGAGAGAAAGATGAGAGAAGGAGAAAGTCAGGGACAACTGCCTGATGGGGGTTTTACACAAATGAGGCAGATGGCTCTCTCCTCCAGTCATCTTCTGGCTTGTCAGGAGCTGGTAACAACCGCCTCATCGCGGGCATTTGCATTCATTAAGAATACGAAGACAATCTGATTTCTCATGCTCCGTGTGTTGGACGCATTTGCGCTTCACGGGATGACTCCATCAATCAAGCACACAGAAACAAGAGCATCATGGGCTGTCACCCTCACCGACGGATAGCCATCTGAGACCAAACAGCCAGCACCCGCACCATCTCCACATATCACAAAACAAAACATCTAGATTCTGCATCTGTAGTCTAATTACCGGGCCACGCCATGCACCAAACCAAACCCAAACCAAACCTCTCAAAGCAGTTTATCCCCCGGCAAATGGTACCCAAACACCAGCACCGTCCCGCACACAGCCATCACCGTCGCCGCCATATACGGCAACCCGACCCACGCCCCTCCAATCCTCGTCCCCGCGCGCAGCAGCGCGGAAATCACCGGCGCTGACACCAGCGTGCTCAGCTGCTCGACCCAGCCGATAGCCGTATTCAAGGTCCCGATGGTGTGCGGCTCGACGACGGCGTTGAGCACCGCGCGGCAGATGTTGGTGTACGTCGCGCCCATGCTGAAGATGACGAGCGCCGCGATGAGGAACCACGGCTTGTACGCGACCGCGACCATGAAGCAGCCCAGGCTGAGGAAGATGCCCGTCATGCGCACGAGCCAGAGGTCGCGGATGAGCGGGTGCAGCGCCGTGCGCTTGGTGATGTACCAGCTGAGAAAGGGTAGCACGGCGAGGAGCATGGTCATGTTTGTGATTGTAGAGACGGTGCCGAGCAGGGTTGCCTGTGTGTTGCCGTCAGCGTCTGGGATGCATTTCGGAGGGGGTGGGTTGCCTACCTTTGCCCAGGACCATCCGAACAGGTTGTGCACGTACTGCGACGTGATTTCCACCTTGATGTACTTGATAATCACCGTGAGGTTGAAGCCCAGCACCAGTGGGAGGATTCTCTTGGACTTGATGAGGAAGTTGTAGACGTGGTTCATGTCGTTCTTCATCGAGTAGACAATCTGCTCCCGCAGCGTGCGCTTGGCGCTCTCGGCGCCGTCCGCCTCCGCGCGGTGGAGCGTTTGCTCGACCTCCACATCGGCAGCCCGCCGGAACTCGGACGTCTCCGGGATGAAGGGCGGCAGGCAGGCGCCAAACGTGAGCAGGGCCTGGCCGAGACAAAGCGGGAGCCAGGGGGACTTGGTGAGCAAGGCGGCGCTGATTGGGGCGACGACGAGCTCGCCTGTCAGGGCTATCGTGCCGACCTTGTAGTACACGGATGTCCTGGCGGGGCGTCAGATGGCTGGAAATCAAGACGCGTTTGTGGTACTTACAAGTTGGAGATTGGGACAACGTCAGAAATCATGGTCCACACCATGGCCTGGACGATGGCAGCGCCACCACCGATGAACTGGAAGACTGCGCCGAACCAGACCGTCCAGAGAGGCAGCACGTTGGGCCACAGCACTGTCTCGCTTTAGCAAACGAAGCAAACGATACGTCTCGGGTAGTGCACTCACGCGGCTGCAGCATCCACATAAACTCCAGGCACAGACCAAACATGGCCAACGTCAAGACAGGGCGACGGCCGTACTTATCCGCAATGATGCCGTACGGGATGGACGTAATGAGCGCTGGACCACGTCAGAGGCCGTCTTCTTCACACAAGCAGCATAGCACAGGACAACTCACGCGGGATACAATCAAACGAATTCAACCAGCCCTTCACCATGGCCAGCTCGCCCGCCACCTCGGGCCCCTTGCACACATCGTCCGCCGCGTCCGTCGCGATGTGGCCGGGGAAGCGCTTCTCGCAGATGATCTGCTCCATAATCTGGTACGTCGGCGGGACCTGCAGCAGCGCGCCGACCTCGACAATCACGATGAAAATCATGGAAATCGCAATGACCTTGAACTGGTATGCACGGCTGGGCGCGACCGTCGCGGGGAGGTCGTGCGCCAGCAGCGGCGTCTCCTCCTCTGGCCGGCGCTCCACGTCGCGATCGAGGGTTTTGTTCGTCATGTTTGCGCCTGTTTCTGTAGTTTTCTGCTCGCAAAGGCGAAGTGGGCCAAAAACAAGCAGCTCAAATGCTGAAAAGCCAGCCCAGCGGAGGGAAACCAACACCCAAAACTATTAAACCAAACGAAGCCGGAATAATTAGAGGAGCAGGATGGATAGTCGGATATGGTGGTGAGACTCTTACTAAAGCAGTAATGCAAACCGCTTGTCGCCAAAAGTTCCAACACAGGCTAGGACTGCACCACGTATGTGAGAGGGAGTAAGAGAAACGGCACAGCAGCAGGCGTGGCGATTCCTGCGTCCCAGAGAGGAAGCTCATTAAAATAAGGGACCCAACCAACAGCACCAGAGCCGTTTGCGATTGTCGCATGCGCTGCGGATGCAGCAGATACAGACCCCGGCCGTTAGGGGTCCAACAGGATGTCAAGACCATTTCGCGGCCGGCACACCCCTGCCGCGAGGGAAAGGCTCCTCCCCTGTGGCCGGGCAGCCAGCGGTTGCGAGTCAGCCCAGCATCTCCGATGTGCTGTTGCCGCTGCTCTTGCGAAATCTGTGAGGGCCGCGCGCAATCGCGAGTGCTGCTGATAGCGGATTCCGATGTCGTCGTTGGCCTGCTGGCGGGAGAAGTAGCGGTGCTCCCTGCATCTCTCAACCGCAGCGATGGGCCGTCGCAGTTTTGGGTCGGAGTTGTCAGCGAGAGAGAGCAAAAAAGTCCCGGGCAGCTGGGACGCGCCAATCGACCGCATCGCAGGTTGCTTCGCCCCAATCAACGGCCAACGCCGTGGCACAGGAGCACACCCGCCGCAACCAAGGCTCCTCGTCATCGCCCGTCGTACAACCGACTTAGATGCATCGCCAGCAGGTCGCGAACCCGACGACAAACATCCAAGATGACCAACTTTTTTCTCGTTTCTTCTGCCTCTCGTGACTCGGCGCGTCGCACCATCTCCTCTTCGTTCTTGCACCTCGGAACTCTCTGTTCCTGCAGAAGCCTGAAGGCTACTTCTGGAAGGCTCCGGCTGAAGGCTGTGGGTGTGCTGCCGGGCTGTCATGTCCATGCCGCCTGAAGGTCAAGTTCGTCCCATCGTCCCAACTATCAGACGTACGGAGGAGGGCCAGCAGCGATCGGCAGCGTGGTGTGATCTGCCACTGACAGTACTGTACGGCGCAGCCTGTGCCCTCTCTCACAGCACCCAGCATGACTGTTGCCCGTCTCTTTTTGCCGGCGGGCAGCCGAGCCTGCCAGGGATCCCTTCCACCTCGTCAGCCTTGAGACGAAAAAGCCCCAAAGCTTAAACCCGACTGACGCGGCAGCGGTGCAATCTAATGCGATGTCGTAAATAACACAACCCACCCAGAATAATCTCGGACCGAGCTGCTTCAAGCCTATGTATGCGCGGGTGGGGATTTCGAGTGATTGCACATACAGATCCTCGGAGAAATAGCGACGTCGTTGATAATGGTCACTGACTCGATTGCCGAGCGGTGTGTGTTGTCGTCGTGGGGTTCTGGCGTCGATCCCCTCCGATGAGGGCCGTATAGCCGGTGGAATCTCGAGATCCTTGGCAGGTGGGAGTTGGCGGTATCAGGTCGCCGGCGGGTCTGGCGGAGGTTGGATGAGGGAGGGGTTCAGTGCCGTCGGCAAGCTGCCTGCCACACATTGACAGTCCGCCGTCTATCCGTCACGATCCAACTTGCATTTTCACAGACTTTGTCGCCAGATGTCGTTGAACGGCACAGATTTCTCAAAGTAGAAAATCTACTAAGAAAGGGAAGTCAACTCATCATACATCAGACTGCAAGATGCCCCTAAGTAAAGAAAGGACATAGTCTGCAGACGTTACTTTCTGCCAACGTCCGCGATAAGAAGCATAAAGTGAAAAATCATATTCAGACCTTCCCTTCTGAGGGCATCCCCCAAAGTCTCCTTCCCTCCCAGTCCCAATGAGCTGGTGTCGGCACTAAGAATGGCTGACTCAGCCTGTTGACCGCGGGGTCGTCCCCGCCAATTCCAGCATCAGTGAAGCGAAGCCAAGCTACCCCGCCAAAGCTCCGTCTCCGACTCGGTACCTACTCACGTCACCCTCCAACACCGCGACACACGATACAGAACCCGATATCGCCCAGCATGTCCGGCAAAGCCAAAGTGACCGCCACAGGGCCTCTGGTACGTCCCATATCCCTCGGACAATTGTTCCCATGCTCTCCCGCATCTGCCCTTCCACAAGTAGCTAACCAAACTCCCAAACCGACAGCCCGACGCAGAAGCCCGCTGGATCAAGCTCTCCAAGATCAACTACACCGACCAGAACGGCACCCCGCGCACCTGGGAGTCCGCCGAGCGCCGCACCCGCCCCAAGTCCGGCGACATCGACGGCGTCGGCATCGTCGCCATCCTCGAGAAGCCCTCCGGCCCCGAGATCATCCTGCAGAAGCAGTACCGCCCGCCGATCGACCAAATCTGCATCGAGGTGCCCGCGGGGCTTGTCGACGAGGGCGAGACGGCCGAGCAGGCGGCTGTGAGAGAGCTGAAGGAGGAGACAGGGTATGTTGGTGTCGCGTCTGAGACGACGCCCATCATGTTCAACGGTATGCTACTTTTTATTGTCTATCTTTTGCTGGTTGATGCTGATTACGAATGCTCAAGACCCTGGCTTCTGCAACACGAATCTCCGCATGATCCACGTCACGATCGACACCTCCCTCCCCGAGAACCAGAACCCTGTGCCGCAGCTGGAGGAGAGCGAGTTCATCGAGGTCTTCACCGTGCCCCTGACCGACTTCTGGTCTGAGTGCGTCCGCCTGGAGAAGGAAGGCTATGCTATCGACGCCCGCGTGGGTACCATCGCAGAGGGCATCGAGCTAGCCAAGAAATTCAAGCTATAAACGCCCTCTCTTTCTTTCGCTGTCTCTAATACTTCTTGTGATGTCGTGACCTTGGACCCATGAACCAAATCTCCTCACACCTTGCCTTCCCTCCGCAGTCCCTCCCACAGCGCCACTGCAGCAAGACACTTCGCATCCCTCCCCCCCTCCCTCCAAAGCTCCCCCATCGGCACAATCTTCAACGTAATCTTCTCCCCCTCCTCCCTCAACCCCGTCAACTTCCCGCTCCACTCCTTCAGCTGCCCCCTCGACACCCGCCTCTCATGACTATAAATCGTAATAAACTCATCACACCCGCCCGCCGACGGGAACATCGCCTCCGCAAGCCCCTCCTCCTCCCCCTCCGTCGCCCTCCCCGCGCCCGCCAGCTCGCTCAAACAAGTCAACTCGTCCTCGTGGATCTCAATCCCGCACTCCTCCTTCAACTCCTTCGCCGCCGCGCCCGCGAAGCTGCCGCTGTCGTCGACCATGCCCGCCGGCAGCTCCACGAACGACAGACTCCCTGCCGGCACGCGCGGCTGCACCGTCAGCACGGCGTAGCGCTCGTCCAGGGCGTCGTCGGGGACGAGCAAGAGCAGCATCGCGACGCTCGGCCCGCGCAGGAAGACGCTTGCGGGGAGGGTCTCGCCGGCGGCGTTGGAGACGTCGGCGGTGAGCTTGAGGAAGCCGATGCGCGAGGAGCCGAAGACGTCATAGGTTTGGACGGTGATGCTGCGCAGGGCGTAGGGGTCCGCGTGGAAGGGGTGGGAGGCGGTTTTGGATTGGAGGGTGAGGGAGGTTGTGAGGCGGGAGAGCCAGTTCTGCGGTGTGTTAGAATGTGCTGTTGGTAGACGGATTGGGAAGATGAACTCACGTTGAAAGGGCGGAAGGAGAGGAGCTGGGACTCGGAGAGGCCTTCCGGCAGCTTCACTTGGATGCCGTGATCTTTGAGCGTGATTGTCGACATTGTTCTAATCACGCGGGAGTTAACTTGGTTGACGTGGTGAGGAAATGTGGCTGATCTCGGAATATTCCTGGAGGAAGGAATGAGGTTATGTGGAAAGCGTTTTAAAGCAGGCGCGAACGTGCTCATACTGCCTCGCAATTGACCTTATTGAGTTGCACAGGTGTTGTCGAATGTAAGTGTAAGTAAATGAAAGGCTGACGTCAGAGTTCAAGTGTTGGTTTAGTGGGGTCTTTCTGCTGATGGCGTTGCGCCAGAGAAAGGAAGGTACGATAAAAATGTAAAAAGTGCAGTATGACAGTTCCCGGGGGTAGATATCATAAAACAGATTGATATGTGTGTGTATTGCGATTCGTAGAACTTTTCGTTCATCAATTGTGCTTTTCCTGCCTGCCTTATGCTGTTTATGCTATGCAAATGCGAACCGCCCTCACCCCTTCCTCCAACTCCCTTTCTACACTCGCGATGCTGATGTAACAAAAGGAAAAGAATCCTTTCCCACACACCGCAACCACCCGTAATCGGCTTCAAACCTATTCCCACAGGTAATTTGAACCTCGTAGATCACTTCGGTAAAAAGCAAAATTGCAAAAAAGACAAAAAAGTTCGGAATTGAACTGGGCGTCCCCAGTTCAATTCCTATGAAAAACAGCCGGACTGTTTTTGCGCCGAGGGTACGTGTTCGGCCACCCACGCCCGTCGTGGACTGCGTGCTAGTCTCTGGGGTTGCGGATGAGAGTGATTCACTGCTAGATAAAGCCTTCTGCGGGTCGGATGGGATGAAAGGGTCGACGGGTGGCCAGAGAGGTGCGGATGACTTCAAGGTGCGCGCGAAGCTGGTTCCATTGTCGCCAGAGGCAAGGACCCACCAACTCACACTCAGCCCAGGAAGTTCTTCAGATTTCCGCCAATGTTCTTGAGGTCCAAGAGGAATGTGTCATGGCCGAAGAAGCTCATCTCCTCGCTCAGCTCGATGTGTGCCACGTTTCGGTTACCCGCCAGCTTAAGGGCCTGCGCGACCTCCCTCTGCTGCCACGCTGGGAAGAGGATGTCGCTGGCGACGCCGATGACGAGGGCTGGGGTGTCTCTAAGAGGGGAGAGACCAACGATCAGGTCCTCAGGAGGCCTCGACGACACCTCGGCGGGCTGATCTGATGCACCGGCGTTCGACTCCGGTTGCTCCTCGTAAGGCTTCTCGGGAAGGGTCAGACTGCAAGCAGCATCGTTCCTTGTAGGCTCAACACCAGACTGCAGCAGCTTCTCACGCTCCGCCCTCCTTGCGCTTGCAGCCACCTGGTTCTCCCGTCCGAGGTCGAAAAGGTCCATGGCCTTGCTGACGTAGAGAAGACTGTTGGGGTCATAGGTGAGACAGAACTTCTCCCCAGCATGATCCAGATACGTCTCGATCAAGAAGTCCGGGCACAGTGCCGGGGGCTTGCTGGGATCCGCCCTCCTCCTTCCAAAGCGCTGCTCCCACTCAGGTCCGGAGCGATATGTAACCGTCGCGATCTCTCGCGCCAGCTTCATACCAGCGTGCGGCGGCACCCTGCCGTAGTAGAATCCTCTGTTCCAGTTCGGGTCCATCATCAACACCTGTCGCTGCGTGTGGCGCATCGCGATACTGTACGGGTGACTCCTCGCGCAACCGCTAATGGATACAATCCTGCCCACGCGGTTGGGGAACAGTGTACCGGCAGCAAGCGACTGCATTCCACCCATACTAGAGCCAACGCTTGCATACAGCTTCTCCACGCCAAGGCCATCCAGCAACCTGAACTGCGCGCGCACCATGTCCTCCATTGTCAAGATCGGGAACCGTGTCGCATATCTCTGGCCGTCCGCGGGATCGATACTACTGGGTCCTGTCGAACCGTAACATCCTCCGATTACATTTGTGCAGATTACGTGGTATTTATCCGTATCAAGCGCAAGCCCTGGGCCGATGAACTTCTCCCACCACCCAGGCTTCGGGTTGCTCTCCGTAGAATGCGCATGCGACGACGCAGACAGGCCGGTGTGGAGGAGGATTACGTTCGACTTGTCCGCATTCATTTTACCCCAGGACTCGTACGCGATATCGAACTCGGGCAGGACGCCGCCCCAGTCGAGGAGGAGGGGCTCTTCGCAGTGGTACGTCTCCGTTGCGCCGGCCGTGTACGAGGGCTCGTTGCTCGACTCGAACTTCGCTTCTAGTGTCGCGGACCGGTTCTCGAGGGCGTCGAGGCACGGGAATGCCATCGCCGGGTTCGAGGCATCGCCGGGGCTGTTGGACGCTTTGCGCGCCGGCTTGGAGTGGAATGCGCGCGTGGGTTGTTGGGTGCTGAGAGCTGCGGCAGAGCTCCGTATTGCGGCGGGGGTGCTGGTGCGGGGAATTGGGGCGCGAGCCTGGCGAAGGGCCGCTGAGGCGAGTCTTTGGCACTTCATGGCGACAATTGTGACGGAATTGAAGCTATGGAGGGGCACCAGAAGGAATCATGGGCCCTTGGCAAAGATATAGCGGCCGTTCTTGGTGTTTCCCGCGGCCGGGTTTGTAAGCTGGAGTTGCTTAGAGCTCCATTGTCGGCGGCGACGATGGTGCAATCTCACGTGACGATAAGCGATAAGTGAGGCGATGGATGGTCGTTTCATGACATCAGTCGCAACATTCCTCGTTCACTTAACCATTTGCCGCTGTTATAAACTGAAAGAACCCCTAGTAGGACTTGTAAGCCCAACGATAAGGAAACTAAGTCTAGCATCTAAATCTTCACCTAACAGCGTTTCGCCTCCGAAGAGCTTTCCCCTGATGATGGTGCCCTGGACAAGATTCTTTGGAATCAGGGCGTACAACCCAGACGAAGTTTTATTGGCCGCGCTCATTGTTAGGCAGCAACATTGCCAGTTTTTCCCTTCGTTTTTTTTCGTGCCTCCTGACCTTCCTTCCATGTCGAGCAGCTATCCGACGGCTCACAATCCGAACTTTTCAGTGACATTTTGAAACAATAACACACGAGCCCTTCGTCATCATTACCATAAACCACTGTCGACACGCGCTGCCGACTTATCATGTCGATCCATGATCGCCGTATGCGAGCCGTCGAAAGGTTGACATTAGCTGGGCGACGGATCTGAAGTCGGATACCCACTCTCTCCCGATCGGAGGAAAACACAATAAGCGGCGTGTATTCACACAGGCCTGATGCTTTCCTTCGAGCGGAATAGCCATCAGGGGACTTGGACCCAGTCGAGAAACATACACGTTGGCGGATTATCTAAAAATCGTGCCAAAGGCGGTACTGCCCTGCTCCCGTCCAACAACGCCATGGCACCCGGCCGGGCGAACCACTCCATTCGCTCTATTTCATGCGAATTCTGCGGCACTACGAGAAGTGATACTAAAGATTTGCTACGGCATATACGAGCGGCCCATATCAACAGTAATTACTCGTGTACGTGTCGTAAGTCATACAAACGTAACGACAATTACATTCGGCATCTAAGGGAATGTAAAGTTAAGCATGACAAAGGTCCTTTCTTCTGCATCTGCGGCAAGAAACACAGCATTTCTGACGAGCACCTGGCACATATCCAAAACTGCAGAATATGGCAACCAGGCCGTTCGTCGTTGCGAAGAATAGTGAACACCAAACAGCCAAACATTTCCAGCCATTCTCAATCATCGGTTCCTTCGTCTCGTAGCCCGACATACCCGCAGATTTCCTTCTTACCCCTGACACACCCTGTACCCTGCTCCAAAATTCCCGGCACCATCTCAAAAGACAACACAGCCGGCGAGTCTGAAAGATCAGCCCGCTTGTTCAGTCAGTTCAGTCAAGCACGACGGCAGGAGCCACATGGGGCTGAGCAACGCGACGGTTCCTGACGAGCGTCCTACGGCTCCTTCAATCTGTCCCAGATCCCAGGCCCCTCTCCTGCCCTCAGATTCCTCAAAGAACAGACCATTCGCCATGAACAGTCCGGAAGATATGGCTGATTTTGATCCGCTGTCATTTGTAGACCGCTTACTGGGTCAAGGACAGCGACCTCCACCTCGACTTTGACAGTTTCCTCCATGAAAAAACAACCAGGCTTTCGATTTTAACTTCGGCCCCTTTGGAGTTGACATAAATTAAGTGGAGATTTCTTTTAGACCTGCGGAAGACAGGAGACATTTAATCCGAGAACCAGTGCCATTATTTTCCTCAATGGATGGCTTAAGAGGTGGTAGTTTCATCAGGAGCGGTAGGCCATGATATCTGCAGGAGATAAAGGCGCATATCTAAGATGCGTGCTATGACCTAACAACTATGAAGAAGAGAAGAGGTTTACAACCGCCTCCGACGGCTGAATGGCAGCGCCGGACGATGACGTCGTCTGTGAAGTCCAATTCGCAGGCTGGTCTGGGGATATTGGCGATGTACGCGCAACAAGAGCTCGAGAGACGTGGCTGGGGGCGTGCATTTGAAGAGAGTACTGAGTACTAGCTAAGGTAGTTAGCAGAAACATTAGCATTACTGTGTCAATCTCAAGGTCCAGGTCAGAATGTCATTCACCATGTGAAGTCGCAGCATGTGCTTGTCGCAGGTTCTGGACCACAGCTTCCCCGCTGTGAATCCCCACGCCGCACTGACGTCAATTTAACCTTCCCGTTTAGCTAGTGGCACCAGTGCTCTAGCGGCCTCCCATCGACCCTGAATGTGGCCAGCACAGTGATGAACTGACGTCGCCTCCGTCACACGCAACCGACGCGTACGCTACTCTCCACACCGTTGCCTACATTCACTACCCCCCCATCCGCTCCTCAAAAGAAACTTTACTGACATACATACCTATGCCGAACTTCTTTTCGACTTTACAACAATACGCCAGACCTCTCGCGACAGTTGCAGCAGGTGCGTTTCTCGCTAGAGCCATGGCGTTTCCCGACAACAACGGCCCCGAGGGCCAATCATCAACCCAACAAATTCCGGGCGAATACAAACCCACCTTGGCCGATGTGCTCGTTGTTAGAGTCATGCTGGAGAAGGCCGCCAAGTTTCCGCCCGAGCTGCTCGATCTCATCTTCGACCAAGCCGAGTACTGGCCGCACTCCGAGGCCTCCATGGCATGGCAAGTCAACGTGCCCCGCGGCGGCGCCGGCATCGTCGGCGGAGACCCCAATGGCGAGAACAAGCTCCTTATTAGATGTCCCCCGATTGGATTCACCGACTACCGCAAGGTCGGGGAGGCATTCAAGACGGCCCCGCTCCCGCCCAAAGATGTTGACGGCTCGGCGGTGGAAGGGCCCCTGCAGAACTTGACTCTCATGGAGCCGAAGTCGAGTCCGACACTGCCTACGCGCGAAGCCCCGAGGGAATACTTTGAGGGGTCCATGACGCAGCCGCCCGCGCTGACCAACCCGGTTCGAAAGATTTTGGTCAAGTTGCGGAGCAAGGACCAAGGTTGGGGTGGCAGCCACGAAGATAAGGGCACGTACAGGGGATCGTGGACTTGGTTTGAGGCGGGATTGGAGAAGTTCGACGAGGAGTGCAAGTGTAGGTTATTCCTGTTGCTCAAAAAGATGACAGCACACTGACATTTTGGATACAGGCGACGGTTCTTGCAAAAGATCATCACCGAGCCCACCCCCCGAACCCGAGGCGTCGGAGAGCAGCAATACACCCGGTGGTGGAGCTTCAAACTTCTGCACCTGCGGTCTCCAATCCGTGTATCCCCCCGTTGTTTCCACTTCTTCAATGACGGCTTACCACCACCACATGCACGCCCTGGATAACCTCAAGATCCAGGCCAATAAGACAGCGCATAGGGAGTTTGTGGACCATGAGGTGATCTGGTCATGGACGGACGATATCCACCCAGATTCGCCCGAGGGCGACCGTCTGGCGGAAATTGGTCGTGGAAAGGGTACAGGCACGGGCAACTTTGTCCGCAGCTTGAAGCTGGGCGATGTTGTCACCGTTTGGGGCAAGGCTCGGTTTGGCGGTTGGCGCAATAATGTCGAGAGCGTCAAGGTGGAGATTTACTGGGCGATTTGAAGCTTTTGGCTTTGCTTGAACGGTTCCTTTCCCTAAAACACTCAATTGGTATTTATTAGGTCGGACGGCGTTTTGGTCACGAGAAGAATGAGACATGATAGTACGCTCGCAACAATACGTCATGCCATCCGGTGCACACTATCTCTACACAGCATGCGACCCCTGGGCATGTTGCTTATTCCAGAATATCAAGCGCCTGTCGGGTATCGAGACGCCATGCAAAATTGGGCACGCTTTGCTTCTTCAGTGCTGTGCGCCAATGGTGCAGTGTGAGATCACGTGTGCTCATTGGTTCGAAGGCTGTGCCGCATACCACAGCTGACATGACCTAAGCCACAAGACGGTTTGCACAAGGCTAAGTGAAGCCTCCAGCAGTTCTATCTCCTCACCTGTGCCTTCCATCGACTGTACGTTTTGGTCAATGTTCAAAGTCTCAGGGCTCTGCCGCTTTCGGATGACTACTTCACAACGCGCCGCCCTAATAGACGAAGTTTGCTGGCAACTATCTGTCTGTCGAGGCGCAACGACGTACCAAGCACCAACAGAAACGAATGACCGGGGCATAATTACCCTGGAAAGTGAGGGTGAAGATTACTTGCGACAGCTACAAACCCTGCGTGGTAGGCTTTCGCTTATTTTCGTTTCCTAGTCGCACCAGTCTGACTTTTGTGCAGGCACTTTGCTATCTAACGATGACCGCCATATGGCCTTCCTCTTAACCCATGAAGTTGATTTACTGTGGAAAGTTTTAATATTTTGCAAACCGGGATTCCGCTTCATAGACCCTGTCTATGTTAAGGAAAGACTGACTGCCTTTATCGATGTCGTCGAAAGGCGGGATTCACTTCTGGGTCGTCATCTCAATCACCATCTGTGGGCCCACCCACAGATCGTGGCCTGGTTGAAATCCTCTTTGCCACAGGTGGCTGTTGTCGATGTTGAAATGAGCACGCGCACGCGAGGTTTTGCTCTTGAGCTCATAGAACATTTGGGTGCATCCCATCCAGTTCTTTACCTCCTGGACGGCCTACCACCTTCGACCGCGCCAAACTCAGGTCACTCCAAGCTAGATGTACGCGAGGCTTTCGAGCAGCTTACAGCGCAATGCCTTCGGCACATGAAGCTGCAGGATCTAGCGGGATTTGCTCACGAAAGCCTTCAATCATTTAAAAACACTGGGAGCATAGAAGATTGCATTTCCCTATTCCACCTGGTGTGTGCGAAGATGCGCAAAATATCCGTCGTACTTGACCGCAGCACATTTTCGCATCGCTGGGAGGACGGTATAGAGTATTGGCAGGAGAAGATTCAAACCGTTGCTTCGGAAATCTTCAGGGGGCCAACAGCCGTACTGCTTAAAGTAGTAGTGATCGGACCACGAAACTTCCCTCAAGAAGTCTTAGCCATGGAGTCTATGGGTCGGTGGGAACCTCCATCTTGGGATGGTGTTGAGAACTACATTCCGCCGATGCTTTCGCGTTTCCTCGCTTCTTCTCCGAATGTGGCAGACAGGCTAGCATCCACTCCACCTTCGCGTCCAGCCCCCGAATCGGCGACAGTAAACCCTTCTGAGGAGAAGTCGTTGGTACTAGGCAACTGGGCTTTGGATCCTAGGTATGTACTGACATTTAGTATTGATATTTGAGAAACACCACTAATATTCTTGAAGTAGTAGTCACGACCGTACACGTAGCGCTGATCAGCAGATGTGTTACTCTGACGACGTCCCCACCGGAACGTTGGAAAGAGACCATTGTACTGATTGGGCAACCTCGCAAAACGTCGCAGTCAAAGTAGACGGTCCATGTCCATTACCATTGGCACCTTGGATTCCGAGGACTTTATCAGAAGTTCCAAAAGGCTCACGCCACTACACAGGTGTCAACGAAAGCCGGCACGAAATCAAGATTGCAATCATATGCGCCTTGACTCTAGAAGCAGATGCGATCCACGCCCTATTTGATGAGCACTGGCATGGTACAATCTCAACTCAGATGAGATCACCCGGAGATACTAATTCCTACTCGTTTGGTGTCATTTGTGGGTACCCTGTCGTGCTTGTACATATGCCCGGTATGGGTAAAAGCAATGCTTCAAGCGTCGCAACCAACTGCCGAAACAGTTTCCCCAATGTCAAACTCGCCTTAGTTGTCGGTGTTTGCGGGGCTGTCCCGTTTTATGGCGATAGGAAAGAGATTATCCTCGGTGACGTTATCATCAGCGAGGGCTTGGTTCCCTACGACTTCGGCAGAAGGTACACTGACAAGCTCATTCGGAGGGAAGTACTGGCGAAGCCGCCTCCAGAGATAAGAGGTCTACTCAACAAAATGAAGGGATGGATGGGTCGACCACGTCTGAAAGCAAGAATGTTAGCGCATTTAAAGACCCTCCAAGAAATTTTTGGGGCAGGCGCAACGTATTTGGGCACAGATGAAGACTTTCTGTTTGAAGCAACTTACGTTCACAAGCACAACAAACCTGGGACATGCAATATATGTGCCCTTCCGGATGGCGTTTGCTCGAATGCTAGACCTTCGACATGCGGTAGTCTTGGCTGTGATCAAGAGCGGCTCATCCATCGAAAACGACATGAGGCTAATGAGTTTGGCCCAACTGCCTTCGTTCCTGAGGTTCATTTTGGTCAGATCGGTTGTGGCGATCAGGTCATGAAGTCAGGAGAGCATCGGGACTGCATTGCAAAGGATGAGGATGTAATTGCCTTTGAGATGGAGGGAGCAGGCGTTTGGGACAAGTTTCCGTGCATTGTGATTAAAGGGGTGTGTGATTACTCGGACAGCCACAAGAACAAGAGCTGGCAGGTGTATGCAGCCTGTACAGCAGCTTCTTGTGCAAAGGGCCTTTTGCAAGAATGGTAAATACAATGTAAGGGCACTCGATCTACTGCAGACGCCGTATATAGATTAGCTCTTCCTGGGCCTATTTGACGTGAAGCCTTTAGACAGGCCACGGAGAGCTTGAGATATTAACCTCTATCGTTCCTTAGGGTTCGCTGATTTCATAGACTCCGCAAAACCGTTCTTTGCCAAGTGTTGCTTCTCCTAGAACAGATAGGTTAGCTTTCGAACAGCACTAACTTATCCGACATACCTTTGCCATGGGCATGGAGCTAATGCCGTACTTTGTGCCGTCAGGTTCGTAGGCTTTAGGATGCCGTGAGTGCTTTCGAGCACGACGCTCTTCTGAACGGCTGCTTCCACCATTCCCACGTCTTGCATCAGCTTCCTTAGCAGTCATATCCCGCCCCTTCTTGCCTCGATCTGTCATCATGTCGGAATACTCTTCGGCCATGATTTCTCTCCCAGTGCCCAATCTCCCAGCAACTGCAGAGTATAATGACTTCACTGAGTCTGATGAATTTTCCGTACCGTATGCACTCCTGTAGGTGCTCATTGGTGCTGCAGGGACTGAGGCATTGGTCTTATTTCGTCCGCTAACTATCTTTGATCGACGACAATTTGTTGTTCGATGAAACTGAGCTAGCAGGGCAGCCTGTCGAGAGCGCTCGCCTCGTGTATGATCGCGTGAGATGGTTGCAGAAGTGACGGTGGGGAAGGTTGCAGTGAGTCCTGGTTTTGACTTGATCCAGAATTTTGACCCCTGTGTCATACCATCTCCAGAGGCTTCAATACCAGCGCGCCTCTCTAGATCTTCTAAGCGTCATTTGAGCTTTTTCCCTGTTCAAATCCGTTAAAGAAAGCCAACGGATAGGACGTATATCATCAGTGAGCCCATCTCGTGTCACGTACTGTAGTTGCGCTGAGCAATCCGATTCTGAATCCTTCGGCGCTCTGGAAGATCGTCCATGAGCATCCAGTCAGCGGCATCATCATGCGGATGCATAGTGCTTTGGGTAGAGCCTATGGCTGTGATCACCAACAACAACAATAGGTGTTCAACAAATGTGAGTCGCGTTCGGGATGGTCAACGATTTTAGACGTGGGGTATGAGGCCTTTAAACCGGCTGCTTGTCAGGCTACGAAGGCTTAGAAAATTCTATTGGTCCGACAATAGACCAATACAAGAGGTCCATAAGATGCAGCATGTGCGCATGACCTCGCTTATTCATTATGAAGTAGTGCGTCAATCACAGATTACATAGCGCCCTTGCTAAAGAATTCGATGCGAAATGTCATAACAACAGCAAAGTGCAGGCGTTGTTGTCAACAATGAGAAATTAAAGATTAAGTAAGTTTCTAATACATCTTCAATATCAGGACAATTACGTAAACCCTGTCTCGACAGCGGAAAAGTCTTGGGTCAACGCCGATTAGGAAGCATTCTGTTATAGCCTGAGATGAGACTCATGCAGCCTCAACTTGCTTTTATCGCTCCCCCTTACCCCTGCGAATATCATCGGCCGTATAACCTTGTCTCAGTTCTTTCAAATAAGCGTCAAACTTGCCTGCCTCTCTAATCACAGAAGCTATGTGCTCATACCCAAGACGCATGCCGCGATACACAGCTAACTGTCGTGCCGTGGAGATGGCGTTACGAATTTCTCTGCCATTCAGATTCGCTGTCGCAAGCTCAGGGAGGTGCTTGCGAATTTCTTCCGAGTCAATTCCAATGTCTTGGTGAATGCTGCTGCTTATTTCGAGGTGATTAGTAGCCGTACTTCTGTCATCATTGAGCTTCTCAATGCGGTCGATGAAGTTCGTCCAAATTTGAAGCCGTTGTTGCTCGCTCAGATTATTGTATCTCAGGTTTAGCTGGATGCGAGATTTGAATGCTTCGTCAAAGGTTCCCACGCGATTGCTCGTCAGAATCAGAATACCTGAAATCTCTGATTAGAAAATAACAGCAGTGAAGTGTTTCGCCGCACTTACCATCGTAATATTCTAAAACGCGCAGGAAAACTGTTTCATCACGGTCAGAAAAGAAGGCTATGAATAGGAAGACGTCGGGCTTGACATCTTGCATGGCCTAACTATCAACAAGAAGACAATTGAGCAATTATACTTGCCTGATACGAGGGCATTTCTTTCGAGATTTCTGAGTGTTCGCTCCTCCAAGAACACATCCGCTTCGTCCAAAAGAACAACTAGCGATGAAAAGTAAGCTTTTGATTACAGGACATATTTCAAACTCAGCAGGTCTTACCGCATCCCCAAGTCTTTCCAAGAAGGAGGACGGTGTCTAAGTACTAGTTTGGGTCAACAACTGGAGTGTGGCATCCTGAACAGAAGAAGCCCACCTTCTCTACGTCTTCCGCTTTTGTTCCGATGTCTCCACACGTAACTCTGTACAAGGGCTTCTTGGCAATTTCAGCAACGCTAATGATGTCAGCTCATTTTGCTCTATAAGGGATAGGCTTTCAAATACCTTTCAGCGGTCAAAGTTTTCCCAGTTCCTGGACCACTAATTGCAGTCAGCAGATTTGAAGCCATAATCACCATAGAGCGAACACACTTACCCGTGAAGTAGGATGAAAAGGCCATTTCCCTTTCCATGAATGAGATCGGTGTTCTCTTCCGCTCTCAATTGCGTGGTGACTACTGCCTTAACCAACTCTTTGGTTTCCATATCAATGACTAGGTGCTCAAATGCCTGATCGTTCCATTTAACATCGTTAATGAATTCAACGTCCAAATTCACTGGGAAAAAGAGTCAGCTTAGTCAATCGGATACGTCCAATACTCCAATACCACGTACCCCACTCCTTCTTTTGCATGTTGAATCCCGGTATTTGAGTGGGAAGACACATGAAGAAAGTATCATCAGGCTCCCAACTGTCATCAAGCTTGATCTCAGGTCCAATGTCACTATTAAAAGTGTGCTTTCTGTCGGGATGCATCTGGTTGTATGTGCCGTAATCCACCATGAACCTCGAATCATCCTGCCGATTAGAAATTAGTTCGATCAGAGATGAGCGTCTAGATAGCTAGATAGTTTCTCACTGAAGGCTTCAGGCCGTCATCTGAAAATCGAGAGTATGACACATATTTTCGACTCCGACATTTCCAAAACATTCGTCCACGATTCTTCAAGGCCTGGATAGTTTCGTTACTGGCATACCCTACCGGGTAACAAGAAGAAAGGTCAGTAATTGCAAATGAACCATCTTGATCACACGGTGGTAGTGTATCAAGTATTATGTCTCGAATGATGTGGTGGAAGGTGCCTCTAAATGCCCAAGTTCTGATCGGTATCGTTGCTCGAAAGCCTTGTTCAAAGGTGTTCGAGGCCTCAAGCCACCGGGTAGTAATGGCCCCTCTAATCTGATGCTTCTTGGTACCATCCGTCTTGCAAATCAATATTCCGTTAGGAACCTAGCGTTGTTAGTACGGGAAGAAGGGAGGCAGGTGGTGAAATACAAAGAGATACTGAATGTACTGAGCAGTGATCCTGCCCCTGTCTAACAATCCGTCTACCATGCTCCAATCCCTCCCCAAACGTTCGTGGATATACTGTTGAAACACAGCTAGATGCTTTCTCTCTGCCTGGAGTAGAGTTTCAGTATATATTTCAATCTCGTTTCTTCGATGAAACCACCAAAGATACGGATAGGTTATCTCGTCATCAAATTTCCTGTTGAATTTGGGATGCGGAAGCCCACTTAAGGCATCATCTGCTATTTTTCCCAACACTTCTGAGAGCTCCTCTGATATCAAAGTGATATATTCGCTCTTGAGAAAGCTTGATGTGTCGGAGTTTAGATGATTCGTCATACGATCGTGATGGTTGAAGTCCTTGGGAGAGGCGACTCCGCAGCATTCGAAGTTACGGTAAACGATGAACGTGATTTCCTTGTTTCGCTCTAGATGTAGCTCGAGGTGAGGAATCGCGTGACTCCCTCTGAGATGAGCATTGTATCGTCCGCTCTCTACAACCCAGGGCTCATCCAGATAGAGGTTCTCCGCATTTGTATCATGACACAATATCCTGTTAACAATCTCGCATTTTGGCGGGCCCTGCTGTTGCAAAACCCTGTATCGCAGTCTCTCGGCCTCTCTTAGGGTGTCTGATGCAGACCCCATGGCGACTAAAAGCTCGCCATCAGGGGTATTCGGAGAAACATCTATGAGGCGGCATATCTCGCGACGCCAATCAATCGTCGTATGAGGCCGATATATAGGGCGCTGCTCAGAGTTCTCTGGATCTATGGACTTTGGTTAGTCAATTTCATTTACCTGGGTCATCCAAGATTCAATCACCTAAGCCCAGGCTACTGGGACTCCTGTCCCGACTTGGCGGAGATGAAGAACGTGATGGAATGAGGCGCTTGAGTCCTCGATGGGCTTGATCAGTTTGACTTCGCTCGTTGTGATGTGGAGAATCTTCATTTTTCGGTGGATACGACACTCGAGGTCTCTTTCGGGATTTGTCTTCGCCCGCCATATTGGATGATAGGACTGCAGAAGGAGGAAATGAAGCAGGTAGATTGTGCGCATGTCCGCAGCATGATGACTCCGTCATCTATCCGCCGACAGCGGCTGCAGGACAGGTGTTACTGGTTGAAGCTGCAGCCCAAGGCTCCATGTGTTGGTGGCATCCCATAGGTTGACTTACCGAGGCGCGCCATTGTGCCGTATCTGCACCAGCGCCTCGTCACCAGGGGTTGAGCTAACGTCACGGTAAGACCAACGTTGAAATCTAATTGGAGGCAGGTCTCTAAGAATTGCGCTGTTATCTTTGTGGGACTTTGATTTCTTGTGCATATGACGGACAGCCACAGTGACCTATGGATAAGACCATACCACAAATACATTCTTATCCTTAATCAAAACATGAAACCCGATGGTTTGCAATGCTGCATGGTACTAGAGTTAATCAATTGACTCTGATTGTCATCACAGACCCAATTACTAGATACATGTAATATTATTTCATTTATATGAGCACATGTAATGTATGATTGTAATATGCACTATGTACCATCATTTACGTCTGAATATTGAACGCTGCTACTCTTTTACGTCGATATTTCGAGCGTGGAAAGTTGTATTACGGTTATTGATTTCTAGCGTCCCTGCTCGGCTTCCTTCAAATAGGCAGTATGAATTCAGATTCATGACCTTACCACCAACTACGGGGAGTTTCGGATTCTGGTTTCGGGCCCGTTTAGAATGGCTCGCAGTCCTTGCAAGGGCCCTGGAAGTTAGCCACGGCTCCAAGGCAAGCAAGATCGGCCACCGGATCTAAAACAGGTCAGCTTTCACTTAAATATTAAGGCGGCTGCTGCGGCTTACTCAAGAAAAACTCGTCAACAGCAGCCGCGCAAGTCGGAATGACAGCGGCGAAAGCTCCTATGCAAGCTACAACAAGACTTAGTAACCATCACTCTTCCAAATCTTGTGAGTCGGCACCTACACCAGACATCGCAGCCTCTGGCCTCGTGGCCTCGGAGTTTGGTGATGGCGTTGTTGCAAGCACCAAGGTCATTGGAAGTCTCGCACTGGTACTGCCTCTGTCTCTTGGCAAGACTGGCATCAACGTTTCCCTCAGAAGGTGCGGCGGCCACAAAGGGCACGGCGATGGCCAGGAGGGCTACTGTGTTGAAGTTGATCTGCATCTTGACGGCGAAAGAGAACGATTCTGAGATGAGGCTTGCTCTTGATTGAGACGGCAGTGTTTTGATGCAAGAGTATGGGCGAATTGTGATGGAAATATCAAGAGTATTAATAGTTGTCGACGTCAAAGTAAAGACTTGATCTCAGGAAGCGGACTCCTCGGACGGCAACTGACATCCTGATTTGGATCACAAAACTCGGCATCTTGGCATAATTTCAGAATGAGGCTGATGAGCTCGTGTTCGGCCGACTGATCGCCAATCACAGCCTACTACTCACCCCGGAATATGAAGTACGGATTCGAATGAAGTCTGATCAGACTAAGATGGGCTCTGAACTAGACCATTTTGGACGCCATGGTTGATGAAACAAAAACTCTCTTAAATTCCCAGCGCTCTAAGCTTGCTTTGCAAACTTTCCGTGGTATCCGTTTCGGGCTCACTTGATGGGTATCACACCGCTTTTTAACCGACTCTCGGTTTGACGTTCGATCTGACGGTTGATCGGCGCTCTTGGCGACGTCTCTGTATTTCATTATTGTCCTTCCAAGGGACGTGTTGACCGTGGTGGGATGCCGTGAATGGAAACTAGCACAACTATAATTAATTAAGACTGCATGGGCCTTACCCGACATACTCCAACCAATCAGGCTTTCTGTCTCTCTTCTGAAAAACCTCAAAACTTTCGAAAGTCTTCAAGTCGCCTTCTGTTAGATCCGATCCTACCGACACACGATTGAGTCCGCGTTGAGACTTGACTATTGCCGTTAATAACTTGGCGCCAAGGGAAGTCTCGGCCTTTCCCTCAAAATACTATTTTCACTCGGAATTCTCGGGGGCGAGAAGTGAATTTTCTGAGTCATGAGTCCCCAGTCAAACCTTCGAGTAAGGCATGTCTAGGGACTGAACGTAAGGATGTCGGGGAGTAGGAATACCTATGGAATCATTCATGTTTGACGTGTGTATAAAAGGAATTCCTCTCACCGACTTCGTGACCAAATCTTCTCATCTAGCCCAAGCTTTCAACTCAATCTCTACCATTTACCTCTCCTCATCCGGGATCCCACCTTCAGCTCCAAAATGAAGTTCAATATTATCGGCCTCGTTGCCGCGGCATGGTGATAATGCGCACCGCAACAGAAGATGAAACATATGCTGACCATTTCAAGGATGCCGCTCGCAGCATGCCAGTTTTCTTGCCACTGCCAGATTGCCAACAACGGAAATGCCGTCATTGCTGCTGTTCGACTTTGCGACGAGGTCGGCGGAACAATCTGCTATAACTCTGCCGGAAATTACAATGTTGTAAGTGTCATAAACGTGCCAACTTTTTCACCTCGGCTTTGCATGAAAAAAGGCGTCAGTGCTAAGAAATCTCTTCGAACAGTGCAAGACTAGTGCCGCGTGGACCGATGAGCAGTGCAAGAACACGTTCCAGGGTATTGACCAGCCCAATGAGAGATTCAGAGCTGTTTGCACCGCGTACAACGGCGGAGGATGTCCTGCGTAGTTTGTTGTGCCGCGTGCTAGTCGGTCCACGGACTTGGATGCCACGCCTTGTCACTAGGCTGTTGCATGAAAGCAAGAAATCTTGACTTAGCAATACATTTCTATGCTTAGAAGGCTCGTTGACATACCCGGTCCGTTGCTGTCATTCTGGAATGTGTACATATGGCGCTTGCAGATTGGAATGATGCCACAAAACAACGTTGAATCTTCCGATAGATAACCATATAGAACCTAGACGCTGTTTATGAAATATGTGACAAAGCTCTGTAGCTAATCCAATAATACCCGGGCTTTATTTTTCAAAACCTCCTAGTAATCTCCCCAAACTTTGTCCCATGTTCTCAGAATGACATTCTTCTTCATAAGCTCTCCATTACGATGCTCCTCCTGCAGACCTTCTTCCCAGAGGCGGCACTCATCATCAATCGCTTGCTTTCGTCCGTCGGCATAAATGTCCAGGGATCCGGGATCAACAAAGCTTGTGCGCTTGTATATCTTCCAAAACACAAACATGCCAACAAACCAACCAAGACCAAAATAACTTGTGATGAAGCCTTTTGTAGACCACGGGGAGAATATGTCGAACCCAATGAACGAAGAGATAATCGACCCCAACACCATACACAAATAGGGAGTCCAGGAAGCGCCGGGTGCGATATAGGGGAAGATAACTGTTTCCATCTGCGTGACTGATTCGACGTTGTTGTCTCTGTCAAGCAGTGAGGCCAGCCAACTCTTCTTGCTTGTGCTGATTTGGCGTATTCCCTGGGCTTTCAAAGCGCGGCGCCAACCAACAAAGACCCAGGACATGCAGGTGAAATTGACGACCAGTGAGACGGTTGTTAACTCCAAGAACCAAGAGAATACCTCACTTGCTTCGTTCGACGCAACCAAAAATGACAGAAGAGAGATGAGAGTGACTGCTGTCACACAGACCCATGGTACCCCGCTCTTGGTGCATCTCAAAAAGAGCTTGGGTGCTTGTCCATCTTGTGCAAGAGAATAGAGGGTGCGGCTGGACGAGTAGAGAAAGGCGTTTCCGCAGGACCAACCGGAAAGTAAGATGAGAAAGTTGATGAGTCCTGGCAGAAACCCCGAGATGCCATGGCTGAGGAGTCCCAAAACCCATGGCGACGCAGCGGCTCCAGCATCGCCGGAATCGATCGCGCCCAGGAGGCGTTCATCGCGCGAATTGCATATTATGCCAACCGCGAGGATACCAAAAATGTAGAAAAACAGGATACGATTGATGATCATCTTGGATACTCGTGGGATGGTCTTTCGCGGGTTCTGAATCTCTCCAGCTGCGAGAGATATGGTATCTGGTCCACCGATTGTGAAAGCAGCGTAGCGCACTGATATGCAGACGCTGAGGAAAACGCCAGTGGCTCCATCTGCATAGTAAGAGTGCACAAAGTTTCCATTAGACCAGTTTCGAAAGCCATAGGCATCGTGCTTCGGACTCCCGCCCACCATAGTAATGAACGTCGCCATCATAAGGCTGAGAAGCAGGAGGACCTTAGTCGAGCCCATGACAAACTCACTTTCGCCGAACCATCTGTCAGGCTAATTAGCAAATAAAGTTTCTCGTGTCAGAATTTCACCAGCCTTCACTTACTTGACAGCTGCCATGTTCAGGAAGTAGCATACTGCCAGAACCATGGCAATCCACACTGCTGGGTTGACGTCGACGTTCCAATAACCCATGACTGTGGCGACCGCTGAATATTCCGTGCAAACAAGCATAGCGCCAGCGAAGAAATAAGTCCATCCCATGGCGAAGCCGAGTGCGGGATCCACGAAACGAGCGGCAAGCTCGTAGATTGAGCCTCTGATCGGCAGCCAAGCCACCATCTCAGCAACGTTCAGGGTGGTGGGCCATATGAACCCCACGCCGTAGATGATGTACCCGATAATAAGAGGCAGGGGTCCCGCCTTGGACAGGACGCCGCCCACGCCCACGAAGAGGCCGACGCCAATGCCTCCGGCAATTGTCATGAGCTGAACATGGCGTGGAGACAGACCCCGTTGTGTTTGGGGAATCGTGGCCTCGGATGTTTGGCCCAAGCGGGTGAATGAGCTGTCATCTGCGATGGCGTCTTTCACTGCCGGTCCTGCCATTGTCGCGGATGGATTTGGCGAGGAGGGTCGCTGGCATATGGTAATCAAAGAGAGAAATTTAGCAGAGCGGCATAAAATCCAAGGGTTTCGGAGGGGCTTTACAAGCGATACGACTCTTAAGTTTTGGCTAACACCTATTGCGATGGTGGCAGTAGCCAAGTTATGAGAGAATCCAGGCAAATACCGTTCATTCCCATAGTAAGAATCTGTGATACCGTATGTCGGATGAGCCTTCCTATCTCAAGTCGTGACCCATGACGGCACCAACCGGCCTATGCATAACAACTAAGATAACATATCACCCGATATCATCACAGCACTTTTATCTGGTGTGACCTTTGCTAGAATGCGATAACACAGTAGCAAGACGGAGGGGTCCATTAGCATCTGGAGTGGGGACGCAAATTGGCCAGTTGGAAGTGGGAGCTGACGACCCCTGAAGATTAGATCGTATTCGATTTCCTAGTTGGGATAGCCGATAAACCACGGCTCAGATCGTATTCATCCGCCTCTTATGGAAAGCAACTAGACTTGGCACAAGCTCAGAGTTTGAGTGCCGTTGATTTTGAGAATTCTCAGTACGCAATGTTTGCAAGAGCGAGTGACAGCTTGGACACGTTGCCGAGGAGGGGAAATGGCACACGCGCGTCGCAAGACAGACAGGTCGGCGTGCAGGCGAACGCTGATGAAACAAATTAAAACATGCGTCGCCAATGTGTTCTGCAGAATTCACAATTATCTGTTTGATTCCGAATACAATCTGATTTTATTCTTTACTGTATCGAGAGTCGCCGCTGGGCCAGGCAAAAACATGGCTGATACGAGAACTCGGAAGGCGAAGGACCGGCTCTTGGCTGTCGCCAAAGGCCTCCAACCGCCAGACTCAATGCCGAAAGACTTCATCGAGAGACTGACCGCGTGCCTTGTGGCTGACCCTCTACTTCCGAGGCCTAATCCATCGATCTCACTCTGGCAAGAACCCCCTCACCCCACCTTGGCAACCGTTCAGTCCCCCAATCTCCCTAGCTACGCCGACTTCGTTGTCATAGGCTCAGGGATCACTGGGTGCAGCGTCACAAAGAGCCTATTGGGAAACGAGGTCTTAGGCTCCGGTGATAATCCAAGCCAAGTTGTTGTCCTAGAAGCTCGGAATCTTTGCAGTGGTGCCACGGGCCGTAATTGGGGCCAGCTCGTCAGTCCCGTCGGTCAAACGTTCGCGGGTCTGGTCGAACACTTTGGCAAAGCGACTGCGATGGAGATGGCTCGATTTAGCCTCATGAATATTGAGCGTGTGATGTACATGGTAAGAGATATAGGACCGCAGATCCAGACAGAGAGCGAAATTCGAGATCTGGTCAAAGTTATGGTACCTGAGACTGAGTTCGCGTGGCTTGAATCGCTGAGCTCGTTGGAGGAATTCCGCGAAGCGTTTCCAGAGCACAAATATCTTCACAAGGTTTTCGAGCAGAAGGAGTTGGTCAAGGTTTGTCTTCTACACATCAGTCGATATTGACGATCACGGACACTGATGAATGTTCTCCCAGGAATGGAACGTCAAGGTTGGATTTGGCACGATCGTTCACAAAGCAGGTGCCATATGGCCATATCGATTGATCACTGGAATCTTTGAAAGTCTTCTGGGCCAGTATCCCAATCGCCTGTCTATCGAAACGAACACTCCAGTTACCGCCATTTCCCAGTCTTCCTCTCCTCAAGAAGAGACAGCCAACACGACATATAAGTACAAGATTACAACTCGAGGAACTGTGCATGCAAAGCAAGTCATTCACTGCACCAACACCAACGCTTCGCATCTTCTGAAGCCTCTAAGAGGTAAGATGTACCCGTACAGAGGCACGATGTCAGTCCAGAAAGCCGGCAAACATCTGGAGAATGTCGGGAACAGCGCCTCCTGGAGCTTGCTGAATAAGCCTATGTTGGATCACAACACAGGATTTTATGATGGCGGCCTGTACTACTTGCAACAGAACGGGTTGACGGGAGACATTTGGGTTGGAGGGGGAAGCTCGAGCATTTTCGGCACACTCTCGTCTGATGACACGTCGGTGCCCGGTCAGGCTATGAAGGATCTGGTGAGGTTCGTTCCTAATTATTTTTCCAAAGGATGGCCCCAGGGAGAGGAAGCCGAGATCCGGGGGATGTGGACCGGACTTCAATGTCATACATCAGATGGGTTACCCTTGATCGGAAAGATCCCTGGGTCCGCTTCAGGTCGTAAGAGTAGCGACGCCGAGTGGATTTGCGGAGGATACAATGGATACGGTATGGACAAGACCTGGCTATCAGGCGAGGCACTTGTGAAGATGATTGCTGGCGAAGGTGTGCCTGAGTGGCTTCCGAAGGCATTTTTGCTCACAGAGACCAGATTTGAGCAAGCCTTGACCCTCGAGAAAGCACTGGATAGATGGGTTTCGTTAGCACGAGATTCAAACTAGTCAGAAGTGTCAATGTGGGACACGTTAAACCAAATAGAGTGTTGGTTGTAAATTTGGTATCTATCCAAAGAGGGTGCCCAGCCTTTTCTCCACCTAAACGTCCAACCAATACACATTCTCCTTCCCCGAATCTAGCGCTGCCCAAGTATGATATACCAACCCCGAGATGTTCATCACCTTTCGCAAAGGCAGGACATCACGATATGCTGAAAGCCTTGCTGTGATGAAGTTTCGCGCGGTTGCTATTCTTATTACGTCATTGCCATGAGATCGGGCTTCCTCGTTATCAGCGTCCATTAATACGACTGCTTGAGTGCCAATGCGAAGCTCGCCGGCAACAGCCACGAAGATGAAAGGCTGAACACATCGAGTTCGGGACTCGAACGGAATATCTCAGAGCAGGTCAAGTGTATACATGGCCAAGCTCGTCAGCCATGAGTTTCTCTCTGTTTCCGTTGGTTTCTTGCAGGGTGGTGGAGCGTCGTAAAGGTTAACAGCATTCCATGGGTTATATCTGTCGGACAGCAAGTCTGGAAAGACGCGATATAATTGCAGTAGTCCTGAACAGATATAGGCCTCGTCTAATTTAGAGAGGTGAGCCAGAGTAGTGCGTGGATCTTCAGGGTCGACCATTTCGGAACTTTCGGGTCCTTTGTGAGCTAGCAGTTTCCGTTCGATTTGCCGAGCCTGTCGGGTATCCTTTCTGAAAAAATCGATGAGTTCTTCTGAAATGAAGGCGTTTGAAGCTTGTCTCCTCCGATGGCCATAAATCAGTCTTCCCACGCGGGCTAACAAGCCCATCGTATCGTCGGATATGCCTGTGAAAGGGTGGGGTAGATTCCCAGACGGTTGTGGAGGGCCTATGAAGCTAGATGTATCATCTGTAGTTGAGCAGGTTTCAATGAAAAAGGATAGAAGCAACTCCCAGTACTCGACTGCAGATTTGAAAAAACGGAATGTCATAGCCGTCTTAGAATCTGGCACCCAGTTTCGGAGTGTGTCTTGCGTGGTTGTGAACTTCTCCAATTCCAGGTCTGAAGGGTCATGCCGGCTTGCAGTGCGTCCCAGTAATAATTCAGACATGAGATTGATGTCTTTTTGGTGCCAAACAGAAGATGCATACCCGTTATCGAAGCCTTGAAGAGCAAGATTCCTCTCACTTACAGCGACACAACCGAGTTCAGGGAAGCTTTTCATCAAGCAAGCCGCGGCCATACTCTGCATTGTATGGAAGAGCACTTCCGACGATTGCCAGGAGCTCTCCACTAGGATTCGCATGTAGTTATGCTTGCTATCCCAAGTACAATAAAGTGGTATCACTTCTTGCAGAAATAGTCTGACAGAGCCGTGGGAAGGTTGGTCAGTCTGCGGGGCCAGCCTAGTGGATTCTGAGAAACGCTGTCTGAGCTTTGGAAAGGATCGTCAGGCTCTAGACACCGATGACCACCTGATGGATCTCCATCCGGGACCTCCACAGACACGTAATCTAGACTGCCTGTGTAGTTGAAGTCGGGAAACTCGAATGGAGATGACGACGTCGAAAACTGATGGTCTGAGCTAACCACATGATTTACTGTTCCTTCAAAAGATAGCCATGATGGGTTCCGAGATTCAAGAAAACCATCAGCAGGGTGTAGAACTGATTCCAAGTCTTTCAGGAGTGAAAGACTCAGATCAGCATGGCTATCACCATTCCTCTTGCTATCACTGGCTTCATCGGGAGGCAAAACGGCTGATGGCTTGGTAGGCGGGAGGCTCGAAGTATCTTTGGATCTTTTATTGCTGCCATTAATCCCTTCCGGGCTTCTTGGCGGAGCTGATCTTTTCGCATGAAGTTGGTTGGCTGGGGCCCATCGCACGTTCAACGGGTATCCAGGACAATTTGAGCCATATTCCTCGCAGCTAACGCAACCAGGCTTTCGTTGGTCACATTTGATCTTCCCTAACAATAAGCTACATGAAACCTTGAGCTGTGTTCGTACGCTTACCCGTCTAGTTTTGCACAGTGTGCATCCAAATCTACTCTTCTTGTGGGATATTCTGGTTGACATTTCCAACTCCACATGTATGATGTTGATTGCAAGGCGGGGAAATGAGATACCGAAGTGAGATAACTGACGGTTGATTCACCCGAGGCGGCTTATCATATCCGTGTTGGAGTCGTTTATGCTACATGCCTACCCGCCCTTACTTGGTTAATCGCTGTTAGTCAGCAGGAAACCACATAAGAGCTAGGTTGACCGACAATCTTGAGTATCTATATTTGGGCGATACGTCTGTTAGGTGGCTAGTCGTTCCTCAGTCGCGATTTAGTTCCAAGACTGTACCAGTTCAGATATCAACACAGTTTATGCATCCACTTCCTGCCAGAAATCGTCTTTTCCACAAGGTCATTGAGATAGAACTTAGATTCAATACATCAGTCATGTGAAGACAACGCTTCTCAGCACTTGATGCTAAGGTAAGTAAGGTAAAGAGTGAAAAGGTCACAGTAAAGGTTTCTCACAGCTGCTGGTACTGAGAGCAAAGTCTGTGCCCTACCGAGGAGTATAGTGATGTGGTAGCGAGTGGATTTGTTATATCGTCGTCTATCGCAGGTCATCCACAATGCCATTCATCAGTCTTAGCCCTCAAGATGGTAATCACTTGAGCAGTGAGGTGAATGTTTGTCTGCGATTCCGAGAGTTGCTCCTGTCGAATAAGATCCATGGATATGAATGTGACACCGGTCTTGAGTATTTAAATTGAATTGTTAAGCCACCAAATTGGAGATTTAGCATGCCTTCATATCAGAGTTGTTTCAACAGTGGCAAGTGGTAAGTATCCGGGTGTGTGAATGATACCTCCATAATCTATTCACTATCGAAGTATTGCGTTTCAATGACTGGTCAGTTTCGGCTGAGCGTCAGCTTCGTTATGGGAACGGATTGACAAATTTCGTTCGCATGCTCCAATCAGGCACTCCCATCCAATGGATGGCAAAGCTCACATCCAACCTTGGCTCCCTGTGGTCTGATGCAGTGATGCCCAACACAGTGGGGCCCGCGGTCGCATATTTGCTGGCCGCCATCACCTCGTTGGATTCCGCCCTCCCGAGATTGTCAGGAGACTCAATTCACGCAATCACATCTACGCTTCTTGCTTTTTCACGAAGCTATCATTCCGAAGACACTTTCATCATATGCAATCGAACGCAGTCGACGACTCAATAATGCCACAGGCGACCTTAATCAACGGCCACAAGCGGGCGCTACTCATCGGCTGTCCCGTTGATGCGCTCAAGGCGCCAGCCAGAGACCTGGAGACTATGAAAGCAATTCTCGACGATCACAGATTTTCCTGCAAGCTTGTACAAAATGCCACTAGAGCTCAGATTACATACCACCTAGAGAGCTTGATCGCTAAGACCAACGCGAGTGACGCTATCGTGGTCTACTTTTCGGGCCATGGCGGCCTTGTGGAGGAGTCTCGCGAGGTCACCGCGAATCCAGCAGTGCAGTTCCTCATTCCTTATGACTTTTCAGAGACCACTGAAAATGATTTCAGGGGCATCACAGACGTGGAGCTGTCGCGATATATGCGTCGACTCACCGATAAGACCGAGAACGTCACTTTGATATTGGACTGTTGCCATGCAGCCCGAATGGCCCGACTAAAAGCCACCGTCAAGAGAGTTGACCCGCAGGTCTATGGTGTAGTGTTCTCGCATGTTCGCAAGATGCTACAAAATGGCATGCTTGACAGAGGCGGCCACCATGAAAGAAATCCGCGACTACTCACAATCGCTGCATCTGCGCGAACTGAGAGCGCCTACGAACAATCCTTCGGGAGCGAGCAGCGAAGTGTTCTTACCGAAGCACTCGAGCGTGTGCTACGTCGGCGGGGTGCAGATGGCACCCTCCCTATGATTTGTTGGCGCAGTGTCATGCGTCTCGTTCGAGACCGAATCAAGGCTACCTGCCCCCAACAATTTCCGCAAATTGAGGGGGAGGATACGCGATTCACATTTAGTCTTGAGAGAGCAAGTATCGACGGTGCACTTCCACTATCGTACGATCACCAGAAAGGTCTTCTTGTTTTGCAGGGAGGGGAACTTCATGGAGTCCAAGTCGAAGACACGTATGCCGTCTTGCCGGCTCGTGAAGAGCGGTTTGACCCAAGTCGCCAGATCGCCGAGGTCAATGTCGACCTCGTTGGGCCTTTGATGTCGCACGTCAGTCTCAAGGATCTAGGCCATCTCAATCGTGTCGAGAGCCATGCTGGATCTGGCATGAGAGCCTTCCCAAGGAAGAAGATTAGTAGATTACCGGTGGCAGTTCGGTGCCAAATAAGCTCGGAGCGATTGAATCGCCACATCGACAGGTCTCCGTTCCTCTGCAGAGCTGGAAATAATGAGACGTCCCCATTCGCCACCATCACGAGTAGACATTCGCAAATCGAGCTCTGGAGCCAGGAGTCAGGCGAGTTATTTCTCTTGGGCTGCTGGTTGGTCGCAGAGAACGAGCATGTCGACACTCGGTGCGTCTCCGAGGTTATTGGCAGATTGGAGTCCATGGCGCGGTCAAGACATCTTCTCTCGCTCGCTCGGCAGGTCGAGCCGAACCCCCTGTCACAACAAGTCAGTGTGGAGGTCGGCCGAGTCCGAAATGGCCAACCGGACACGAGCGGTCAAGAAAAGGGCCTCTCTGTCACAGAGGGGGAGAGGATATTCATCAAGCTTCGCAACACTGGCCGGTCCGTGGTGCTTGTATCGATTTTCGAAATCTGTGCCGGATCTGTTATGATGCTGACTGCGGCAACACCAAATGGCCGAGAGCTCCGCCCTGAAGAAGAGTACACCTTCGGTGAACTGGACATGATATTTGGGACCCTTCAAGGGTCCGAGGTTGATTGGCCCGAAAGTGCGCCCAAGGTTCAAGGCTCTAGACTTCTCGAGAACATTGTTGTTGTGGTAACGCCCAGCCGCCTGGACATGGATCTTCGATGTCTCGAGACAGGCCCTGGTGCGGCCAAGGGTGACAGGGGTGCTCAAGAGCTTGATGAGCCAAGTCTGTCTGATTTCATCAGCGAGTTCGGGTCGGAATCTACCAACAGAATCAGGCCCGAAACCCAGACATTCGTCAAATTTGGAATGCGTCTGTTTTCCTTCGAGCTGAACCACAACTGAGCCGTCTTCCTGACATGATGGATGAGACTAGTCGCAACGAGCTTGATCTGGCGACGGTGCTCGCCATGCGCTTCTGTAGTGGAACCTTCGCTGTTAGATAATCCAAACGCCCAGAGCTATGCTTTCCAGTCACCAGTGGCAGTGCACAAAGTACATTGACATGTTTTTCCCAGGTTCTAGGTAATCCTTCCGTTTGTGCTGACCCGCACCTGAAATATTTCGCTCACCAATGCCTTCGTTTTACAAAATGTGATCCACTGTTGTGGCGACTTGGAGGGAGGCCTGCAGATGCAGCTCGACGTGGCAAGATGTGCTCAGCCCACCAGTTTATCCATGAACACTTGCCACAGTGTTTCGCCATTAGTACGTATTTGATGCGGTGGACGGGAAGGATTTTTCGTTTCTTCATTAAGGTCGCCCTGTTGAGTATCAACAATCTTCCGCTTCATCTGATCACACTTCGTTACAGTGATTGGTATTATTGCAGCCTTCGACATGGAAATACTCAAAGCTTCACCGGTGCCCCAGGAGAACATCTTTCCCCACACAACGGATCTACCCGTCGACGGCTGCGATCTTCCCGGCCCCGAGAATCAAGTTTCACAAGAAGACGCCTGGTGGGGTGACATCCCGGTTTCCGCCCCAGGGGGCCCGGTCCCCAAGGTAAGAGACTACACCATCTTCTTCCAGCTTATGCGTCATGCGAACCGGCGAACCGCTGACAAGGCATCCAGGGGTCCTTCGGAGCCTTGTTAAGGAAACTGAAAGGAGTGCCGGCTTGTGTGTGGGTTGTGAACCAACATGACGAGGAGATCACCGTCGTGGTATCCAAGCATCGCCCTTGCCGGATGCTCACGGGTTTTGAGGTCAATCTGTCAACAACCGGTGGAGGGATTGGTTTGAGCCAGACAGTACGTTGTTTAATCTCCGTCTCGCCTTCTCTTCAGTTTTGGTATTGACAATTGGGCAAATAGACATATGTAGGCCCTGCTACGAAGAAGACTCTCCAACCTGAATCGAAAACCAAGTCGGAGTCGAGAGCTACATTTCCTCTGTGGACGAGCAAAGACGGCTTCGCCGTGGTCACGGTATTTATAGGCAAGGAAAAAAGATTGCACATTGAGAATGATCGAATACTGGCTGGCGCTACGGCATACGTTGGACATGGACCGGATTTAAGGATTGAACCATATGGGCAGGCGTCGGATTAGAAAAAGGTTCTTTTGCATTTGTATTTTGGAGACATGACTAGCAACTTCGACATTTCTTTCAAGGACCAAAGTGAACATAAGGAACCCACAATGGCCCTGTAGGTTCAGACCTCCTAATATCGCGTGTAAGATGATTTCCACCAAATCTAACGCGTGCCTCCCGTACCATACTCTCACTGCCTTGAGTCGTCTCTTCCTCCACACGTGAGCGGTTTGTTTGTGGTATTTTGCGCATTTGATGACTTTGAACCCAGTCGTCGCGAAGATGCCGGATCGTGTGATGAAGGCTCCGGCACACAGAATCGTCCGTCATGCCCCCCTTCCACAACCCCTCGTAAGCCAACTTTGCCACATCCACACACAAGGCGTCGTCAACTTCCCACAACGTCCCAATGACATGTCGGAAGCCAGCAAGCTGAAAGGCGCCAGCCAAGTGAATGCTTTCGTCTACAGACTTATCATCAAGAATCTGGCTCGTTCCGCACGCCGATAAGTAAGCCAGAAATGGAGACTTTTCTCTGAGATTTATCTCCAAAAGACTGCCAGCTGTTAGAGATTGATCCTCCCAGTCTTCTAAAAGCAATCGACTCTGGAGAGGGTCGATAGAATGCGTATCGCCATGCCCAGCAAAGTGGAACACTTTGCAACCACCGTTTAGCGCGGCAAATACATCTTTGTGTCTTCCAGCCGCGTGAGTGTAGCTGATTCCTCTGGATATGCAGCCCAACTTCACGGCGTCAATTTCGCTCGTAGCATACTTCAGTGATGTCATGCCTGGCGTCTTCGGCATGGAAACGAGGACGAATTCTCGGCCAGAATTGCCTTCGCTTTCCTCTTGTGCTGCGTCTGCTGCGTCATTCTGATTGACAGAGCTGTAGTTCATCGACTTCCTAGCATGAATAATGGCTTGAACGGATGTACTGTAGGATGATATCACACGGTCAAGCGCTGTCCGCTCTTGACCACCAAAGTGATGACCAGCAGCGTGAAGAGGAAAGCCAACCAGCGGACCGGTCGGAATCCACCAAACATGCGGCCAAGGTTTCCCCGCGTGCGGCGTGCTCAAAATGCCCAAGGACTCGAGAACAGGTCCTACAATTACATCCCATAGCCAGATCAGAGTGAAGGGATACCTGACTTCAATGGCCTTTGACTCGATGATTTCATAGGTAACGTCGTTTAGTGGTAAAGTTCGAATGCCACATTCTCCAACAATAATAGCATCGCACCTGAACCGACTAACGTTGATAACAATAATGGGGCCTCGAGAACCCGCTTGTAGCATCTGATTCTCAGATACGGTGCCAAGAAACCCTTCAAAACCGGGCTGCTGCTGGATTTTCGACAGCAAATTTTCCATTCGAGCCGTAGCAAGATGACGGGTGTCGGCCTCGAGGGACGACTTGGCGGAATCACCATGGCTCGTGTTGGATGAATCCATAAGAATCCGGAGTTGGTCGAAAATCTGAGCCAACTTTGGATGCGAGCGGTGTAGCTCCGATGTGTCTGCGCGGATCTTCTGCAGAGAACCGGCGATAATGCCTCGCCCAGTTTCGAGCAGTTTTAAAGCCTCGACAGGGCTTTCGTCAGCCTCTAGTGCGATGGCGGCTGCATCTGAGGCTAGTCCGACGGCCTGTGTCAGGAGATACTGTTTGTCGGTTGGGCGCAGTGAGAGCGGCGCTGACATTGGGACCAGTAAAATAGTCTGCTTCGCCATGTCGTAGGCTTGCCGTCTGTCGTTCAAGACATCTGGAGTTAACAGGAATTGTCGGCCAGCATCGATACGCAAGCTGATCGGGGCTTGCTTATGGCCCAAAGTCGACACAAAGTTTGCCCTTGCATTCCGCAAGTCATCTGGCTCTCCGACTTTGGAGTATCTGTCCCAAAGTAAGCGCCCAAGATTGAATGTTGCTGCAGCTCGGTCAGGATGATCATCGGGGCAGGTATTCACCGCTTTGTTGGCAGCGCTGATACCCAACTCAAGGTCATCCAAATGTTGCATTTCAAAATGTCGATATTTGAGACCGTAGAACTTTCCCTGGTTGTTCAAATACTTGACTCGGTCGGGGCGGCCTTCAGGTGTGACCTGCACAGCTTCGTTGATCTGACTGATTGCCATGTTGAGATCTTCAATCAGTCCACGTTTCGGGTGGCTTTCTCCAGAGTATCGATCGATCAGTCTGTTTCCAATGGTGCTCAAGATTGGTCCTCGGTTGGGGTTATCCCGTGGAACAAGTGCCGCCAAAGCCGCTTGGGACACATCGATAGCTCGGTCAAAATCGGCCGTTTCCCCCTTCCGCTCAAATCTATCACTTAGAGCGTTTCCAAGGTTGTTCAGATAATCTGCCCTATCTGGATGAGTAGAAGGAACCGTTTTGACTGCCTCGTCGTGGAACTTGATAGCCTCTTCGAGGTCAATCAGCGCCCCAGAATGAGAGTACCTGTCAGAAAGCCGGTTTCCGAGGTTATTCAAATACTCCGCACATCTCACAAAGTGGTCCTGTTTACCGACTAGCACGGCCTTCCTCGCGAATGCGATGGAGTCGTCCAAATGTGAGAGTGCATGTGAACGGGCATATTTATTGCCCAGCAGACTTGCCAGCGCATTAAGGCGAGTGCCTTCAGCTGGGTGTCCTTCAGGCGTAGATTGGACGCTTTCTCTGGCGAGTCCGATGGCTTCTTCCAAGTCCGCTTTCTCCCCTGTACGCTGATATCTATCGCCAAGCCGGATTGCTAGATTGAACAGCTGGTCGATGCGTTCCGGAGTCTTCGTGCCCGTAGAAGTGGCTTCTGTTGCTTTCCTGGCGAGTTCAACAGACTTATCAAGGTCTTTCATCTCACCAGTCCTCAGGTACCTGTCTCTCAGACGGAGTCCCAAGTTGTTCATCCTGATGGATAGCCGAGGACCGTGTTGTGTAGTAGCCTCCAAGGCCTCCTGGGCAAGTTGAGTGGCCTCCGTCAAATCACCTTCATCGCCGGTATGAGTGAACCTGTCACCGATGCGGTTGCTTAGATTGATGAGAAAGTAACCGCGGTCTGGATGATCCGATGGTGCAATCTTCATGGTTTCTCTGGCAGACCTGATGGCTTCGTCGAGATCCTCCCTCCGTCCATTTTCATAGTATTGTCGTCCGAGGTTCATGCTAAGACCGTTCAGGTAGTCTGGACGCATCAGGTGTTTCTCGTGAGTTGCCTTGACAGCGTTTCGGCTCATCAGAATTGCTTCACTCAGGTCCGATGCTGCACGCATCCCGATGGCAGAGTAGCGCTCGCCTAGTCGGAGGCCCAAGTTATGGCAGCGTGCTGCCCAATGTGGGCTAGATAGTGAGGTTTCAGCAAGAGCTTCTCGCGTGAATTGAATACATCCGTGTACATCATCGGTAGTCCTGGTGTAGAAATACTTGTGGTCAAGATGATGGCTGAGAGTATCCAGGAGTTCTGGACGCTGTTCGTGGCCTTTCGGTGTAATTTTCACAGCCTCCTTTGCCGCAAGAATAACAGTTTCCAGGTCAGACATTGCTCCGGTGCGCGAGTACTTCTTATCAAGAAGGTCATGAAGGACGATGATGCGGGAAATCTTGTCGTTGATGCGGATGTGTGGCCCCGCGAATGTATCGTGAGCTTCTCTAGCAAATCCAATGGCTTCGTCCAATCCATCTGCGTCCAGAGTCTGAGAGTACCGCTTTCCGAGTAAAGCTCCAAGATTACTCAATACACTTAGTCGCTCTGGTACGTCTCGGGGAATGATCTCAAGGGCCTTCCTTGCCGCATGTATGGCTAAGTCCAGGTCATCCAGCGAGTTTGAGAACATAAACTTCTCGCCGAAACGAAAGGTAAGGTTCCTCAGAAACGTAGCCTGGTCGAGACTGTCGTTTGAGGTTACCTCGAGACCTTTCATGGCGATCTCAATTGCCTCATTCAGGTACTCCCTTTTGAGAGTGCTTTTGTACCGGTCTTCTAGCAAGCTCCCAAGGAGGTTAAGACGGGTGGGTAACTCCAGGCTTCCGTGCGGAGTCAAAGATAATACCTCTTGACTTATTCGTGTTGCCTCATGTATATCATCATCGGAAGCTGTCAGCGAGTATCTAGCTCCGAGACGTACAGCTAGGTTAAACCGCCGATCAAGTCGGCTGGGATGGTCCGGAGGCACAGCTGTAGTGAATGCATCAATGGCATCTTTGGCCAAGCTAATAGCCTCTTTCAAACATTGGCGCATGTCCGTGTAGACGTACTTAGAGTATAGAACGTGCCCAAGGTTGTTCAACCTATTCGATCTCTCGCGGTGGTCGGCGGGTGTGGCTTCGACCGCCTCTCTGGCATAACGGATCCCATCTTCCAAGTCTTTGAACTCGCCAGTATGTCGAAATCTTGCTGTAACTAGGAACGCAAGGTCACTCCGCCATCCAGCGCGTGTAGCTTCATTGTGTATGCCCGGGGAAGCTTCTATAGCCTGATCCGCGGCTTGAATCGCTTCCTGTAAGTCCGGCAACCGGCCCAAGCGCTTGTATCTTGTATGAATCCGATGTGAGAATTCACTAAGTCTGCTGGCCTTATATTCGTCATCTTCCGGTGTTAACTCTGCAGCCTCTTTGGCAGCCTGAATGCTTTTGTCCAGATCCATAATTTCGTGAGTTTCGTGATACGTTTCCAGCCAGAGGGAGTGCAAAGTGGCGAGGAAGTCTGCCTGGTTCGTGATCAGGCCCTTCTCTGCCGTGACCTTCACCAGAGCTTCAGAGACCCCAATAGCTTCCTCAAGATATTGTATGGACTTGGTTTGGCTCCATGCCCAGTCGAGCAGACCTCCGAACTTTGCCAAATTCCTCCATCGCTCCTCGTCGTCTTCAGACACTCCCTCCAGCGCCTGTCTTGCGCGATCCACAACGTCGTCAATACTCTCCATCGGAAAGAGACTTTTGGTACGCAGAGCACTTGGTATTGTGGTACCAGACGAATCGTTGATGATTTAGCTTCAATAGTGCCGACAGAATTCAGGCGTGAAATATTGCGTGATGTGACACGGGAGCCTTGCGGCTCACTTGCTTATCCACCCCATATTTCCCTCAATCGCCCGCAGAGCCATTCTTTCCAACGGAAGCGCCAGCCAATCTCCATGCAATTCGCGGGAATGCTTCGGAGTAAGTGACAAACCTATGTACCCAATCACAGTGCTTGAAACACCCCTGCATGTGCATCCTCAGAACCAGGCCTAGTTTGTTCGACCGGCAAGCCTGTTCTATCTTGTGCGTTGGTCCTACATATATGTGGAAGACCGTGAGAAAGGGGCTTTAAGGCTATGAGAGACGGTAGAGTGGATGATACAAACGCTCATTAGGAGGGGCACGGGTGCCACAAGTTCCACATGCGACGACATTGCACCTGCACTGGCGGATCGTATCAGATGTGCACGCATGTCTGAGGCAATAATCGGCTAGGACTATTGAAAATCAAATGTAAAGATATCTTTTTGGTGAAACAAAGACCACTTCTGTTGGATTACCAAAGTCCGCGTCTTACATCTCCAACTCCGCCTTCCCGGTGGGACAAATCTAGCGGAGCGCCGCTTGCATTTGTAATCGTCATTCAGACTAATCCAATAGTCATTTTCCGCATAACGTTATGCGACTAGTTTTCAGAGCTGAGGCCACCATAAACTGCATGATTTAGGGCGGTATCGACAGAAACTTTTCAGGTCCTGGTTAGGATAAAACCGGGCACGCCGCACGACTTGATTGACGCGATCAACCCGCCCAATAGAACGTGTACCAGTCGTGTATTACTAGCCACACTCTTCCTTCTACTGAATTATTTCACACCATGGAACCGACAATTCTTGTCGTTGGCGCCACCGGCAATACTGGCCGCGGTGTCGTCGAGACACTGTCAGAACTTCTCGAAACCAACAACACCTTCTCCGGTCACAGAGTTCTTGCACTCACTCGGTCGCTCAGCGGAACTGTCGCGCAGAAGCTCAATCAATTGCCGAATGTCGAAGTGCTCGAAAAGCACTGGGTGGACATCACCGCGGATTGGCTGCGCCAACACAACGTTGTGAGGGCCTTCATTGCCGCTCACAACGAGCCCAATCAATTCTCCGAAGAGTCAACCTTCCACGTCGCTGCTCTCAATGCAGGGGTTGAATACGTGGTGCGAATCTCGACAACTGCCGCAAACGTACGGCCGGACTGCCCTGCGTACTACCCAAGAACCCACTGGGCTATTGAGTCCATGTTGAGCTCGCCTGAGTTTCAACGTCTTCAGTGGACCTCGCTGCAGCCGAACATCTTCTCCCCCCTTTATCTCTACCCTGCGGCGGAGCTGGTCAAGTCATTCCGCAAGACGGGGAAACAGCACACGCTGAAGTTGATTGCTTCTGAAGGCGCTGCGGTCGGGATCATCGATCCCTTCGAGGTTGGGTGTCTGGCGGCTCACCTCCTGACTGCCGAGGATGTAAAGCAGCATGACAGAGCTAAATACGTTCTGAACGGACCTGAAGACGTTACCGGACGTCAAATTGTTGAGATGGTTGAGCAGTCACTTGGAACGAAGGTCGAGGATGTTCAATTCAAGGACGTGTCCTTTGTGGAAGACATGGTAGCTCAATCTCAGCAGTCAAAGAGCGTCATTCGGTCGATCAACTACGCTCTAGAGACGGCTTGGGAAGGAAAATGCAGCACCTCCACAACAAGCCGAGAAATATTCGACATCTATACTCCCAAGGTAACGCCGGCCGAGTCTTTCAAGAAACTGTTGGAGTAAGAGGATTGATTGCCGCCATAGCGACTTTGTTGTCTTTTCAGTCTTCAAAATAACTTGAGTTTACTCCTCTCTTTCTTGCGAACTGCCGCGTAGCATGATTATTTTACTCAAAGCCAAATGTAGGTTGTGCTGGAGAGTAGAGGAACTGGAGAAAAGTTGACCAGGAAGCAACTTAGAACCAACTTGCGATAGATAGTCGGGCTTGCGAGGTTGTCGAGGTAGTATGTAGGACTCGTTTGTAACAGAAAATCAAAAGACGATTACTTGCATTGGTATTTACCCTTCTTGACTAGCCAAGTTCTCAACTAACATTTCACCGCCTCCTGGTACTCACGCAGTTGAGTGAGCTGTTGAAAGCAATTGCTGCGATAAAACGGTTGAATTTAAGATTCAGCCCCTGCATGCTTAACTTTCTTTTTCTTCTTGATTAAGGGGTGCGACTTCCATCCACCTACTCATGAACCAACAACTGCTTGTTTTGCTGAGCTAGTCGTCTTGGCGGCCCCCAAAGCTGAAATCCAAAAGCCGTCATCTTCTCGGTTGATTTGGTCCGAGGCAGTGCAGGTCACGACCAAGGTCCCTTTGGCCGGCAACAACGATTTTATGGAGTATCCGGGATGCCACCGACCGGAGGGAGCGTCTGCCTTGAGGAATTTACGAAAGTCCAAATTCATGAATTACCCCTGAATCGATCGTTCGCTTAAATTCTGGAGATCGATATCACCACCTCTTTGTTCTCATTGTTTGCTGCGGTACACCCCTGCACATGCATCCTGCGGCGGATTCGCTTACCAGGACTTTATCAACTTGGTTCTTGCTTCTTCCTTCTAGGCAGAGAAAGCTAGCAAAGATGCGTGTGGAGCCCTCAGCCGACACCTTTAATCTCACCAAAGTTCGCACTTTCCGCCTCCCAACCGACGATTTAAGCGTTCTCGTGGCGATGACGAGACTGCTCGTGATTGGACAACATACGGTGACTTGCGAGAACCGATGACTGTGGAGGGGCCGCGCCAGTCCCGCGTGGCGGTCAGCGGGCGTTCAATATCAGGATGGGAATATGCTATATAAGTCGAAACCTCGTCCTCATGCCAGTCAATCGATCTCATAGGACCAGTCCAGTTGCATTTTCCCATCTTTTCAACTGCCAAACTCATCAGAAATGCGGTCTCTTTCCATTGCTGCCTTCGCCACTTTGGCCGCTGCGCAAAGCACTCCGTGGCCTTCCTTCGGCAACTGGACCGAAACAGCTGGTGGCTACGACTTCACCTTGTCTGGTCCCGCAAAGCTTGGCACCAAGGCCGAATTCGAGCTGGACAGATGCCACTACGTCTGGAACTTGCTCAACGAGCGCACGAACTGCGACGAAACGGCCCCAAGTGATGCTACCGAGTGTATGGACCAACTCTTCCAACGCAAGACTGAAATCGGCGACCAGGGATTCCTCGACATGTTCGAGAGGGAGATCATCGAAGCCAGGCAGTTCTGGTACGAGGTGAACGACAAGTCTGAGCTGGACAAGCCAGAGACCTGGAAGGCCGTCGAAGCGCGCGCAGTCGTGTCCTTGCCCAATGTCACTGCCTGGGCCTTCTCGGCGTGGTCGTCTTCGCCCAGAGCCGACGCGGCGAACAACAGGGAGAACGCGGAGCACTACTTTAAACACTCGGATTTCACCGCAGGCAGCGGCGTCTCGCGCATTCTCGAGGGATGGGGCGGCACGATCACCAACTTTACGATTCCCAACTACAGCGCTGCGTTGTGTGCGGACAGGGCCATGGTTCGGCCGCTGCCGGAGTTTTTGATCAAGGCCTGCGGCGACAAGAATCTGGTTGATGGCAAGGATACCAACTTTGGCGTGCTCAATATCGCGGCGCGCGATGTTGATGGTGCCTCGTTTGGACAGTCCGGGAAGAAGGGCATCGACATCTACGCGTCCATTTGGTATGGGGGCGCCATTTCTGAGGAGCACCTTGAGGCGGAGCGGCAGCATGTGATCATTGAGATTGTCAACATGAGCTTGAAGGCGCAGCAGGATATCGAGACTGGCACGTTCACGGTTCCTGCGCCTCCGACATCGTAAGATATTGGACTGCACGAAATTTGATGTTAGAGTCGGGGGATGTCGACTATTCAGTTTGCGAGTCGAACATCAGCCGTTCATCCGGTGAATCCACTTCTGCATGTACAAAGCTTTGACTAGACGGCCTCTTTGTGTAGATAGGTCTTTTACGAGTGTACATAATAGGATTGTTTGCTTCGAAAACACAATGCCCTTGTATGTGTGATCGGGATTTTGCCGCGGCACTTGGCCTCGGGGATGAGATCCTGCAGGAACGTCATTTGTTCTTTTACGTTCTTGGAGTTGACAATTTGGCCTGGATGTTTGAGTATCAGTTCTCATTCGTCAAGATGCGAAGGCGAGATGTCCAAATAAGGAAAGTTGCCGGGGCGGCCGGGGTGTCTGCCCTGGGGCCATTATCCTTGGCATTATAACTCGGGCGGAGCATGTAGAATATCCACGCAAGCTGACAATGATCGATCATGTCATCATCCAGGCATCAGTGGAAGTTTTCAATTACAGTCGATTTGAGGCTCTTGTCCGCGGTCAGCACTAGCCCTGAAAGGCTCATCTGGCGACTTTGTAGGCATCCAACACAGCAGGTCCACCTGCAAGATTCACGATACTTCAACCTAGCGAGGCTTGAGCACTAACAAACGCAGTCTCTTTCTCTTGGGCTTTCATTTCACACAACCTCCCGTTTTCTTGGACTTTTTAACACCACTATAACTTGGAATCAAGTGTATGTGCGACGTTGCTATGGGCCGGGATTAAACCCCGCACTTGCCTTGACTCCGTGTAAGTGACGGCGCTGGACGGAACTATGTCCGCACGGAGGCTTTCGGCTTTTGCGCGGAATTACAACCTGCCAAAACGGGATGGAATGAAAGTCAATTATCTCATTGACTTGATAGTCCAAGTCAAATAGTCAATCGATTGAGGATTAACTTATCATCAAAACATCGCCGCTTCTTGAAGGTGCATAACTTCATTAGCACACCAATCCGGCTCGTTTGAGACTCCAGATCCAACGAAGTTCAATCAAGACGAAATTTCAAGCGATCCCCGCCTTTTCAGGAAATGTCGAC